AAGGGTCTTCCCCAACAGTGGTCGCCCTTCCAGGGCAACTTTTGACCCTTTCCAGGGTCTTCCGACAAAGGGAAACCAGATGGCAGGGAGAAGCTTCCCCCCATGTGTCCAAAGGTGTCACATCCGGAACCGGAAGTCTGGAACCAATCTTTTTTTAATTATCCTTGATTTTTATTGCAAGTCTTTGCTTGTTCTGAGCCTTTGCTTTCCTGAATTCATCTTTGCATATTCTGGCTGTCTGCTGATAATCAGCCTTAGTTATATGCCCCTCTTTCCATTTTTTGTATTTCTCCTTTTTGTCTTTCAGTTTGTCAGAGAGATCTTTGTGCAGCCATTCTGGTTTCTTCTTGAATTTCTTGTTTTTCTTTTTCAGTGGTATTGTGCTGGTTTGGGCTTTTATGATTGCATTTTTCAGGGATTCCCACATTTCTTGGGTTATTTTCCCCTTTAGGATTTTCATCCATGGAATCTTTCCTAGGTTCTTTCTGAGTTTGTTAAAATCAGCTCTTTTGAAGTTTAAGACACTGGATGAATTGTTTACTATTGCTAGCATTTGCATTATATTAAATTCCAGTATGACGTGGTCACTTTCACATAAGGTTCTGGCCACTTCAATTCCCTCTATCACTTCTTCTCTATTAGTAAGAATTTAGTATAGCTTTACGTCTAGTTCCCTCCTCCACCTTTGGATGACAAAGTTGTCGGCTAGGTTGGTTAGTAATCTGTTTGATCTCCTGCTCACTGCAGAGTTTGTCTCCCAGTTGATATCTGCATTGTTGAAGTCTCCCATTACTACTGTGGTATGCTTCCTACATAGATTTGTTAACTGGTTGGCAAAGAGTTCATCTATTTCTTCTGATTGGTTGGGTGGCCTATAATATACCCCTATGGCAATGTCACTTTTTTTCTCTTTTATATTGACCCATATACATTCTGGAGAGATTTTATCTTGGATCATGTACTTTTCTGTGAATATGTAATGTTCTCTTACATATAGTACAACTCCCTCTCCTCTTTTTGAAGACCTGTTTCTTCTGAACAATTTGTCTCCATCCATCAGTCCATTCCATTCATGGGTTTCATTCCACCAGATTTCTGTAATGCCAACTATGTCATACCCATTCTCATGTACTATTGCTTCTAGTTCTCCCTGTTGTTCCCCAAGCTTTGATCATTTGTATATAAGCATTTAAGACTTTTATGCCTGTCCACGGGTATATTTCCTGCATCTCCTGATTGTTGTTTGAGTTTTTTTCTTTTTTTTCATCACTGCCTACCTCATTGTTTGATTTGTTTTCTTGGGATTTATGATTGGTTTTGGGTTCTAGAGATTCTAAAGATTGGTCACCCTTCCCTCTCAATTTTAGTTTAAAGCCCTCCTGATGAGTTGGGCCAGTCTTTTTCCAAGTACATTTTCCTCTGTTTTCATGAGGTGTAGCCCATCCCTTGCCAAGAGTCCTTTGCATAAGAAATGCAGTCCATGATTGAGGAAGTCAGTTGTGTTCTGTTAAAAACATGCAGATTATTATTACTTATAATGGAGAAAGTTTGGCTTCAGCAAAAAGAGTTTCTTATGATGTTATGGCAATATAACCAGACTTCTCAATGGATAGATGGGACACCTGTCCAGAATGTGAGTCTTGTTAATTCCTTACCTAGAATTTATGTCCCCCTTTTTTTTTGCACTTTTAAAGAGGTCACAAGCAGTTGTTAACTGTCAATGTGCCTGGGGTCTGTCATTATGGATCTATGCCTGATTGCTGCTATGACTGGAAAAGTAATCAGAAACAGCACTGTGAATGTACCCATACTTTCTTCTTTTTTAAAAAATATATTTTATTATTTTTAAAAACATAAAATCACTTAATAATTGGTGAATAGTATGTTGTCTGGGTTTACATTTGTTAAACAATCGCTGACAATTGATTTCTATAACCCTAACCATACTTACTTGTTGCTCCATTTTTTTTCTATAAAATATGTATAAATTTGAATGAATTCGGCTTACTGTTTGTCCCATTGTCAAGTGTACAGTCTGTTAGCAGGTTAATAGTCCAAGATTAGAATTATGATGTTGAAACCAGCCCCCCCCCCAAAAAAGAAAGAAAGAAAGAAAGAAATTTCAAATGGGAACAAAATCCACCAATGCAGCAAAATTGGGCAGTGATATTGCACGTTATCAATGCTTCCATTCTAAGTTTGCTCTTTCTCTTCCTTTCCACAAAGATAACTCAGAGAAAGAGTACTATTAAAAAGTTGAAAAAAGTCCATTTCTGCATGTTTTCTCTACCCTGTTTACCTTTAATATCTGCCCAAGCCCATAATGATAGACTTGAAAGAAATTCATGGGAAGACAACTTTTAAGTAGGCCACACAGTTATTTATTGTAGAGATCAAGCAAAATATAATCTTTTAAAATATAATCTTTATGTATAATCCATCTTTCATGTATAATATAGCCCAGCTATTGTTCATTTATTCCTGCTTGCTTTCTGTATTGTATTCTAAATTGTGCTGACCAAAGAAAACGTTTCTGTTACTCTGTGTTGTTTCAAGAAGATAGAGAAAGCCTAGCTAAAAGTTGTTACACTTAGTTTGCTTTCTACCCCCTTTCTCCTTGGATTGTAAAAGTATCACTTTCCCTTCTCACTTCTCTACCGTGGCTTTATGCCTCTCTACCAAGTAACAAGTTGAGTTAATGGGCTAATTGCCAGATATTGAGCTATTGTGTTCAGGCTTAGAGATGTAGAAATGCAGCTGAGTTAGGATAGATAAGGAGATTCAAAGGAACTTTTTAGATGGACAGGAACCTTGTAATGTGTATTAGTTATAAAAACAAGAAACTTTTCTGATTAGGTGGTTCTCTTTCTCCGCTGTATCACAGCAGTGCCTGTGTGTGACAAGAGACCAAGACGCCCAGCTTATTCCTTTGATGAAAATAATAAACTTATGTTTATCTCAGATGCCTCGTGTTCAGAATCTCATTGGGATTTATTAGGATTCTGAGCTGAAAAACCTTATATTATAAACAGATGTTTTTCATTAAACAACATAAATTGCCTTCACATTTCTACATAAGTGGAGAATTGATAATTTTGAATTGTTCACTGTAAAAACATTTGAGGATTGCCTGTGCTGGGTCTCCGTTTTAGGCCTCTGGGAAATTAGCTTAACAAAAGCCCATGGTAATTTAATGATATCAATGTTATTATTATTAATAAAAGTATAAATATAAGAGGAAGGTTAAAATATTTATCTGGCTAGATTCTGGCAAGCTACCTAAAGTAATAAAATAGTGACTTTGGATTCTGATTTCCAATAACCTACTAAACTACAACTGAAAGGTTTGTTTAAATTTTTATTGACATGATTTGTAATATTAAAATATATCACAAATCATCATAGAATAGAATAAGAATGAGAATAGAATAAGAGTATTCCTGGTAGATGGAATATCTAATAGTGGTAAAACCAGCTCAGTTGTCCAAAACACTTGGCAACAAGCAACAATGATTCTTGGGTGGTATAGGGTTTGATACGGAAAATATTCAGAGCCAATTGTGAGGTTTTTATTATTCTGGTTTCTTATTATAATTTCCAAGGGAATTATTTGAGCTTTAAATCCTTCCAGAAAGAAAATGGAATGGAACGGAACGGAACAGAACAGAACCGAACAGAATAGAGTTGGAAGTGACCTTGGACCCCTGCTCAAGCAGGAGAACCTATACGGTATCCTGCATGAGCAGAGGAGTAGACTAGAAGATCTCCAAGGTCCCTTCCAATTCCATTATTCTGTCTTCTGTATTCATAGTTTCTGAGAACAGCCAAGATTAGGAGGTGCTGCCATCTGCTGATATAAATTAAAACAAGATTCCTGATATAATCTGCCTGGTCCTTAAATTTCTGACAGTAAACTAAAAATATTTTTCCCCCTATTACAGAACATCCCAGCTGTTAACTGGAGAATCAGTTAACAGCTGGAGTAACAAGGAACAATGGTGTTCTGATTCTTTTTTATGCTAGCTCCCAAAGAAGATTTGTCCCTGTGCTGAATGGTTAAGCTATTGATATGCTACATAGCACTTAGCAATAGCAATAGCACTTAGACTTGTATACCGCTCCATAGTGCTTTTACAGCACTCTGAGCAATTTACAATGTGAGCATATTGCCCCCCAACAATCTGGGTCATTTTACCGACCTTGGATAGATGGAGGATTGAGTCAACCTTAAGCCCCATCAGAATCTAGCTTCAGATTGTGGGTAGTGTTAGCCTGCAATACTGCTCTTTTAAGCACTGTGCCACAGGGCTCCTCCTAGTAATGTTTTTTTTTTGTTGTTGTTGTTGTGGCAGGCACAAAGTTTCCCCTTCTCAAAATTTAAAATTTAAAAAACCATAGCAAAGGGGCAAAAAAGTCATAAAATGAGACACAACTCAACAACTACCTTGCTTAGCAACAAAAATGTTGGGACTCAGTTGTGGTCGTAATAATGCTGTGTGCCTCCTGGAGTCACTGAGTTATATATAAATATGCTTAATTATTTTAGCACCCAAGGTAGTAATAATCAAGATGTGCCAATGTGTTTTTAAAAGATAACTTAAAATTTCAACAAAGGTTTTTTTTTAAAATAAAAATAATGGGAAGGCCCAACACCAGCAGTAATAGGTAATTTTCATACCCTGAAGCAAAAAAATCCCCCATAAAATGTCAACTAGGATTGACCTTTCTTATCACCTTCATAACACAAATTCAAGAATCTGCACTAAATAATACAACTTAACTCATAATTCATTTATAGTGGACCAAGCTGGCTAAAGAACAGTTTTACTGAATTCTCTTTTAATGACCTTAACTTTTGTATATGCAGTCTTCATTGTTTTGCTATTGTAATTACAGTATCATTTGGTACCCAATCTTATTCAAGGCTTCATCTAATTTCAATAATATTCTCCATGAACTTTAATCCATTTTCAAGCCTGTAACCTATGATTGCCACTTACTCATCTCCAGGGAGTCTTGCAGAAAATGTGTGTTTTTCCTTTGCAGACAGGAGGACAATTTTAGAATCCATTATAATCAATAAAGTGGTTCTCCATTGAGTTTTCCTTCAGAGAGATTTCTGCACAATTCATGTTGTACTTGGTGCTGGGAAATATTCTGAGAACATGTGTTCTGTACATTGACTCATCTTGCTTTTTTCTTTTATAAATACCAGTCTTTGCTTCCTTTAAGTGTGTGCCAAAGGACAATCTTTATTAAGAAGTCCAGATTGACTGGCCTGGCATGCTTCTTAAGGCTGTATTGCAAAATATTTCTTCTGCAGGTCCATAGAGGCACAATAATCCTTGCAGTCATTCACAAAGGAAATGCCCTCTCTGTAATAAAGATGAGTTCAAGACCCTCTTTCACACAGTTTTCTGCCAACTTTGACTTGAAGTATTCTGTATTTATTTTCAATTTCAGCATAATAAAGCCCAGATGACTTATTTTTTAACATCGATAGCCTTGTCAATGCCATTCTACACCATGCTCAACAGATGGCAGTAGGTGCCATGCTATATCGAGGTTTTTCACTATTGCCAAATTAAACTGCAAAAAAAAAAAAAAGAAGAAGAAGAAAAAAATGATGTACAGGCTTTGTTCTCTTCCTTTTTTGCACATGATCAGCCTGTAAGCAAAATATTCACCAATCACAGCACAGCAGCAGCAGGCTGGGACTTACTGCAGGATTGTGATCTTTGGACTGTTTCCTGTCTTCAACCTCCTACTCCCCATTTTGTCACAACCCAAGCTGTTTAAAACAACAACAACCCTGATCTGAGTCACAGAAGGAGCTGAGTCAATGGCAGCACTTTTCCTTAGAGCCTCTCTCCCCTTTCTTTTCTTTTTTTGATACACACCGCCTGGCAAAATTTATACAGAGTTATACAGCACTTTCTGTACTCCCAGCTAAGCCAGCAATATTAGGCAGTGGCATGACTTAAGATTTGCAGCTCCCTAGGGAGACAATAGAATGGCCAAATGGAGGAGACAGTTTCATCTCATCCTGAAACAACCAATAAACATCTCTCTGACCCTTTCTGCTGCTTACCACCTGATTTGACCTCAGTTGTAATGCCTAGCAAAGTGATTTGGGGCTCTCGTTGGCTTTAGAATAGAATATAATTTATTGGCCAAGTACGATTGCATACACAAGGAATTTGTCTCAGTGCATAAGCTCTGTGTATATACAAACAACAAAGTAGTAAGTCATTGATCATAAATCATAGTTACAATCATAAGATACCAATAGAAGGTAGTAGGAAAGATGAGAAGGATAATAGTAATACAAACCATACTACATGGGCAAATATTTTTAAAATACAGCAAATATTTAGCAGGGAAAGGCTATTTTAACCTTAGAATAATTTAGAATGACTGTCTTACTCATGGGTTGAGAAGAGGTAGAGTTTTAAAAACAAGGCAGGAAAAAACGTTACCAAGATATTTGTGAGTGCTGTCATGTTAGGCAAGCATGCGCCAGCCGACCTCCAACCCCAATGATTTGGGCAGCCAGCAATGGTAGCTTGGAAACACTTTGGGGTATGAAATATTTCCTTGTAACAGAAATATTCCTTTAATTCCCTCTCCTCAGATTCTTGGGCTCGTCTCTTGTGAGACGTCCTCAGAGGTGCCCCTTCGCGAAGCTCTTTGCAAGCCAGATTCAAATTGAAATTGAATCTGAATCTGGAGGGTGGGTGTAGTAGATCTGTTGTAGCGCTTCGCCATTTTTTCTTCCTTCCGCTCCTGCCTCGAAAAAAGCAGATTTATTTTTAATTGCATATGTTCAGGTCCCGAAATCAAAGGTGCAAAAGCCAGCTTCTGAGCGTCTGTGCTCCGGAAGGGACGGAACTCTGCTTAAGGTTCCTTAGAAAGCGACGGCGAAAGCGTAACTTTGATCCAAGAACGGAGGCTCTTTATTCTTCTCTGTAATTAGGGTATGGGTCGTAAAAACCTGGAAGAGGTTTTTTATTTGCTCAGTCACAAAGGTACACTTTTCTTCTGATGACACCGCCTTTTGTGAAAAAAAAATCAATGCGTCCTGTGTATGCACAAGCACACACCTTGCCCGTAACTCTCTCCGCAAAACCCACATCGTGTTTCGTTAAGCAATAAAAATCCTTGTTTTCTAATTACTCCATTTCGCAACTGTAGCTCGACGAGGAGGTGGAGAAGTGAGGGGCGGGACCGAAGGAACAACGCCCAGTTTGGCTCCGCTGCGTACACAACGAAAGAGGAGGAGATGAAGAAGAAAGCTGCTCTTCCTATTCAATGCTGAAGTCTCTTGCTGCGTCCGCTTGAGTCGCCAGGCTGACTAGTTTCCATCTCCCTTACAAACGAATTGTTCTCTCCCCTTGGACATACTCAATTTCATTCAGAGGATGAATGAAGAGCCTATACCATTTCAGATAAGTGACTGTCTAGTCTCTTCTTAAAAAAACCTCCAGTGATGGAGTACCCACGATTTCTGAATGCAAGCTGTTCCACTGGGTTAATCGTCTTCACTGTTAGGAAGTTTCTCCTTAATTCCAGATTGCTTCTCTCTTTGATTAGTTTCCAACCATTGTTTCTTGTCCTGCCCTCTGGTGCTTTGGAGAATAATTTGACCCCCTCTTCTTTGTGGCTGCCCCTCAAATACTGGAATACTGCTATCATGTCACCCCTCTTTCTTCTTTTCCAAGTCCATATGTTTTAGTCTCCACACCTTTGGTCATCTTAGTTGCTCTTCTCTGAATTTTTTCCAGACTCTCAACATCTTATGGTGACCAAAATTGGTTGTAGTATTTCCAAGGCAATAGCAAAATTTTACCTTACAGAAATCTTTTGGTACCTCTAATGAATTGCTTATAGATTTTTTTCCTCACATATGTAAGAATTAATGTCTGCTGTATTTTAAATTTGTGACTTGGTCTTGGACAACAGACAGAATCTCTCCTTCCCTGGGCACTTTGAATTTGTGGTAGGTCTCAGCAGAATCTGAAATAGATATTTATGAAAATTTCATGATATGCAATAATAGATAGGGGATGTAGACATACTTACAAAAATTGTGTATAGCCATCCACTCTATTGGTACCAGAAGTATAGTAGAAGCAGTGGAGTATTTGCTAGAAAAAAGAGTTAATGATAATAGAAAGATGATCTGAAGCTTGTTTATTTTAAAGTCTGGTAGTGTCATCAGATATTATAAACTTGTTGCATTTATTTCAAAGGCATTATATAAGTGCATTCACATCAAATACTTTTCTAATGTTATTTGTTTGTACACTATGCAGAATAATCTTCTTTAGTTATTATTAGATTGTGTAGCTAGCCAATTTAACATTCACCACGCTGTTACATAGCTAAATAAGGCAATGCTTTTTCTTTTGTTATATGCACTAACTATGAGTCAGGAAATAGAATCAGGAAAGGCCTTGACTGTTTATCTTCTTTAAAGGAAAAAAAAGGAAGATTTTTGTGGTGACTCAACCTTTCTAGGCAGGGAACTTGGACAGTTAAGTTTAGCGGGGGAAGGGGGAAAGTATTTGAGATCAAATGGAGATTTGGATACTGAATTAAATCAGGATGACAAGGTTCTGCTAAAGCAAGTTCTGTCCCTTAGTTTGATATAGGAAAATATACATAAAAGACTTTTTGCATTTCAGTTTAGACATTGCATATGTATTTTTTTCTTTCAGGTTTCTACCACGGTCTGTTCTGTATGCAGATGATGATGCTTCTGTTCAATCCAATGTCCAATTCTCAGTGATTCTGTGGACCAGCTCTTTCCACATTTTCTAATTTTGTATTGTTTCTTTCAGTTGTTTATGCTCTGGGTAGTGTCAGCTTTGATGAGTCTAGCTATTATGCTTTTGGCAGTCTCGTTTCCTTTTACAGTTGACTATTCCAAACACAGTGACTGGCCAATGTGTTCATTTCAGTTAGACAATGTAATCCATTGGCTTTCTTTCATATTCTCATCTACCCCTAGCACAAATTCCTGTTTATTGTTTAGAATTCCCGATAGCCTTACTGATTGAGATAGTCAGATTTGTACTCATTGCAAGTGAAGGCACTAATTTCTAGAATGTTTCTTCAAACTCTCTTGTAAGGAAAAGCAAGCAAGAAGATCCTAGTGACTCCCATGTTTATGTATTTTCCAGACATGCCTGTTATGGCATCAGATATACAAAGAAAAGTGTGGCTTACATTCCCAAAAGTTTACCCACCCTCTCCTATATGTTTGATATGTTTCCCATTCTCTCCTGTCCTAGGTATACAAATTCTATAATCTGTGTCATGTATAATATGCATAATCAGACTTCCCCTTCTTTCTTCTCCCACCTCATCCCAGTTTAAATTCTACATCAGTCTAGCCACTTTGTGGATCTGATGACATAAGCTACAGCTCATGAAAGCTTATGCCTTTTCATAAAACTATTTAGTTGGAAAAGATGCTTATCAAACTATCAGATTTTTTACTTTTTTTGCAGTGTGAGCTAACACAAAGTGGCCATGGTTCATCTAGGTCTTCAAACTTGGCCCTTTTATGACTTGTGGACTTTAACTCCCAGAATTCCTCAGCCAGCGTGCTGAAGGCACACGAAGGCACACACACACACACACACACAGCCATAAGTGGCTTTATAGGTGATAAGTAGTAAAAAGGGCCAAGCAAAACAGTTGTTAAATAGGTTTTGCCCAATTTTATGACTTTTCTTGCCACAGTTAAGTGAATCACTGGAGTTGTTAAGTTAGTAACATGGTTGTTAATTGAATCTGGCTTCCCCATTGACTTTGCTTTTTAGAAGGTTACAAAATATGATCGTATGACCCCAGGATGCTGTAACTGTCATAAATACACTCCAGTTGCCAAGCAACCACATTTTGATCACATGACCATGGGGATGCTGCAACAGTTGTAAGTGTGGAAAACAGTAATAACTCACTTTTTAAAGTGCTGTTGTAACTTTGAATGATCACTAAAGGAGTAGTTGTAAGTCAAGAACTACCTGTATAATTACTAAAAGAGAGAATTCAGGTAAATTGCAAACATTTCCTCTTTAAAAGAAATACTTGTTCTATGTTAGCATTTTTCTTAGTACTTATCAGTAAAACAGAAAAATTAACAAGAGAGGTTGACAAACAGCCACTAGCAAGGCTTCTAGCAGTCTTATCTCACTTCCACATGTGAGCTTTCATTTCTCCTGCTACTCTCAGGGGTGCCTTGTCCAAATTAGCATCACAGCTCTCTTTCCAGCCATATTGGCTTTTCCCTAGGCCAGTGCATATTTATCTGCCTTTTCCTTCTTAAAAATGGGAAGGAACAATGATGAAATTGTGGTGAATAAAAATAGAGTAAGGCTGGTAAGTCAATGACAATTTTGGAATGACTTAATTTCAGATCTTGAAGAACTGCTGTTCAGGCACAACGACAGCCCAGTATCATGAAAAGTCTCATTTTTCACGATTTGCAACATGGCATATTTGTTATATGAATACAACCAAGATCAAATAACCAATGCTACATATTTCTACCCCTTTCCTCTCCTACATGTGCGGACCAATGATACAACAATTAATCTGAAAACAATAACAAGAGATTGTGAACAGCTAGGGAAGAAACGTAAAGAATTAGGAGCACAAGTGGTATTTTCATCTATACTTCCAATGAAAGGCCAACATTCAATAAGGGAGCAAAGGATTTTAGAAATGAACCACTGGCTTAAAAACTGATGTCATCAACAGAACTTCAGTTTCCTATACTATGGTCTACATTACCTACATGAAGGGTTACTGGCAAGGGATGGACTGTACCACACAAAAACTGGAAAGAATATATTCAGAAAATGACTGGCTCATTTTATCAGAAGCGCTTTAAACTAAAATTGAGGGGGACCCAGAAAATCAGCCTAACATTAGTACTTGGGAAGATATTGGAAAAAAAAAAACAGATCTGTGAACATCTAGAAACAAAGTTATAACTAGAAGCCAACATAGGTTTGCTTAAATACAGATCATACCAAACTAATCTTATTTCATTCTTTGACAAAGTGACTAAATTAGTAGACCAGCAAAATGCTGTGGACATAGTATATTTAGACTTCAGCAAGGCATTTGACAAAGTAGACCACAACCTACATCTTAGTAAGCTAGAAAAATATGGGATAGACAGTATCACACCCAGATGGATTTGTAACTGACAAACTGTACTCAACGAGTAGTCCTTAATGGTACTACATTTACATAGAGGGAAGTAAGCAGTGGGGTACCACAAGGTTCCGTCTTAGGCCCACTACTCTTTTTTTTTATTGAAAATTTTTTATTTTTTAAAACATACAATCATTTATAAAAATACAATAAAATTGGCCCAGTACTCTTCAATATCTTCATAAGTGACTTAGATGAGGGAATAGAAGGGGAACTTAACAAATTTTCAGATGTCACTAAGCTGGCAGGAATAGCCAACACCATAGGAGACAAGCTAAGGATCAAAAAAGATCTTTGTGTGTGTGTGTGTGTGTGTGTGTGTGTGTTTGCGAAGAGTCATTTTATTAAATCACTATAGGTCCTGTTTTTGAAGTTCTTTTTTTTAACATTTTAGAATATATTTTATTGATTTTTTTTCATTCAATAATTGGTGAACAGTGTGTTGTCTGGATTACATTTGTAAAAGCATCATTAACAATTAATTTCTATAATCCATACTTCACATATTCATTTTAGTTGATTTCCTCTTTCCCCAGAATAACCTCTTTTGAAAGCATTGGGTTAATACAATTCTTATTATTTTGATAAATAACAATTGAATATATAATTTTTTTCCAATATACCTAAAAATAATAATCATATTAATATAATATTTCTTTTCTATTCAGTCATTCTGATTGCCTCCTCATAAATCCTGTTACAATCCTTATTTTAGTTTATTTCTCCCACCAAATTCTAGATATTCTTGCTGGTAAAGATTTTCTCAAAGATTAATTACTGTACATTTACATTTACAAATTTAACTCTATTTTTTCCATATAAGCCATCTCACACTTTTATATTTCTTAAGAGATAGATAAAACAATGAAAAGAGAGAGAGAAAAGAAGAAAAAAGAAAAGAAAAAGGAAAAGAAGAGTAAAGACACATAAGAAATAACATACTATTTAAAATATCTATCCCTCCTAGGCTAATATATATTTATTTCCTTA